GCTTGGATGACAGGAAATGGGGATGGTGTGTGTTGAATGTTAGCTTAATATCATTTTTCTAAACGTCTTGAGTCATGTCTATAAGCCTGATTTTCCTAACGGATAAAATACGGCTCCTATGTGAATAACTTAACATTTTATTCTACTGGAAAAAGGGGCATAAGGTATAGACACTCTCCCAGTTTGGTTGCCTTCACCAAACGCACACTACACGAGAGAAGCCCCCAGTGTTCTGAGGCCCCGTCTCCACCCCTCCATCGGTCATCTTTGAAGAGGCCACTGACTTCTCTGATTCTCTTTCTCAAAGCCCTGTTTACTAGCGAACTTCTTAGGCAAGAGCAGGCCAAACTCAACGAAGCAAGAAAGATCTCAGTGGTCAACGTAAACCCAACCAACATCCGGCCCCACAGCGACACACCGGAAATCAGAAAATACAAGAAACGATTCAACTCAGAAATCCTTTGTGCAGCTCTGTGGGGTAAGTCCTGCTCTTCACCCTTCCTACTGGCCTGCCCCTCTAACCGAAAAGCCTGTGTGGGGCACCATCAGAAGAGCACTGGCTGATTTATGGGTGTGAGATTCCTACTGGGGGCCCTGTGGCCTCAGGAGAGACCCCGAGCGGGGTTACATGTAGAAAGAGTCCTGCCCGGGGTGCTAGGAGCCCTGGTGGTGTCGTGGATATGCCTTGGGCTGTGATCTAAGTGGTCTGCAATTCCAAACCACCAGCAGCTCCTCAAGAGAAAGACGGGAATTTCTACTCTCGTAAAGAGTTACATTTTCGGAAACCCACAGTGGGGGCAGCAGGAGTCAGCCCTGACTTGATGGCAGTGAGTGGTGGTGTTGTCTTTGCCCAGGGTGACAGGATCCGATTCAGAACACTGTCGGGTGGCAGTGATGAGCTAAAGCCGACAGCACAACTAGTCACCACTTACCTCTCACCCACTGCATGCCAACACTGTGCATGCGATGTGCCCACACACTGCCTCTGCGACCCACTCTATGCCCTACAAGGGGAGCAGTGGCCTCCCCTCCACTGCATAGCGGAAAAACCAGCTGAGCATATTTATGTGACTTACCCAAGGCTGAGCAGCTGACAGGAGCCCGGCAAACTTGGGAAGCATCAGAGATGCTAAGCCTACGCTGAGTTCTAAACATCAGTAACATCTGCAGTTCGGATGAAAAAGATCCGCAGGTTTTCACTGACCCCAGCTCGGCATCGCTATGAAGGGATGCTATCAAAGACAGGGCCGCTGTGACTGCACACATCATGTACAGATCAGGGACGGCCAGGCCCTCTGTGCCATCGAACATGCTGTAGAAGGCCGCTGAGTGGAGAACGCTGCAGTCTTACAAGGGCAAGAGCCTTTGAGAGGTGAGCAAGACAGTTGGAAATAAGACAGGATGGCCGTCTTTAAATATCTAAAGAGTCAACGAGTGGCAAAGGGAGTTGACCGGTTCACATGACACAGAAGGCCGAGGTCCAGCAAGCACTACTCCCCTTGTCGGGAGCTGAGTGGGTGCCCGAGGCAGAGCGTGCGCACATCACGCAAGTAAGAAGTGGGAGAGTCTACATTCATTAGACAGACTATTGTACAGTGTGCCATTCGACATGGGTGTGTGTGAGAGAGACAGAGATTTCCCTAGGCGTGAACTTTTTAGGATTATAGCTATCCAGACAGGACCACGATTGCCATAGCTTTAATAATGGGGATTCTTGCATTAGAGAGGTTAGATTAAAGTGCCTGTAAGTCCCTTACAGTCACTGTTTATGTGGTTCTCAGGCCAGTAGGCCTTTGTTTGAGTTGGTTTTTTAGCTCTTTGACAGAGAACACGAGCTTGAGAGTTTAGGACATCCGAGAGTTACGTCGGGGTGTGAAGAGGACGGGCTATGCCATTGGAGAATGCTAGTCTAGGTCGAAGGAGAATTGACTAGAGCCACAGCATGAAGCAGGCTGGGAGTGAGCCTGGTGGGAGGAGAAGGATGACATTTCCAGGGAGAGACGAGAAAGAGGAGGCTGCTACTGGACAGGAATAAAGGCACATTGTGCTAGCGCCAACATGGTGCCCAAGACTCCTCTTGAAGGACTCTTTATCCTTGGTAATAAATGACTGCTTATAAACCGACCCTGGAAATTTTCATTACCAGAGGGACAGTCATGGAATTACTGTGTCAGAACCTCTTCATCTCTACCCACCTGCTGTAGCACCTATTTGCTCATTGATTTATGTCTACAAGGTAGTTCTCCACATTGCACAGGGGCCCACGATGCAGCCGAGTGAGGCAGCCGAGTGAGGCCCGTAGGAAGACATTGTCCCAGTGCTTTTTAAATGTGCAGGTGTCAACCTCTTGGTGGGAACGGAAAATGGCCTGATGCTTTTGGACCGGAGTGGACAAGGCAAAGTCTACAACCTGATCAACCGGAGGCGATTTCAGCAGATGGATGTGCTAGAGGGACTGAACGTCCTCGTGACAATATCAGGTGTGTGTCTCAGAGGTCTGAGTACTCCAGGTCTGCACAGGTAGGAAGGCGGTCTCCTTACTCCCGAAAAAGCAGGGAACTCGGCCCTGCCCAGCTAACAAGTCCTGTGCCCAAGGGCAGAGCTGTAGCTAGAGCAAGGTCACCCACAGTTTCTAACATCACCTCTGACCTCTGGTGGGAAGGGTCTCTCCTCTGCACTAAATATGAATTGCACGGAGACGTAGCACAAAGGCAGTATCTTTATGTCCATCTCTGCCAGGACTAGGCAAGGACCGCTTGAAGGGGTCTGCGCTCTCCTCTCCAATGGAGAAGTAAAGATAGAGGCCTTGGGGAGTGGCAGATTTGAGAAACAGAAATTGCTCTGTTCCGCACAAGAAGGGCTCTGGCTGATCCTTTGGCAAGTGCAGCCGGTGAGCGTGTCTGGTAGAGAGATGGCCAGTGGGAGAATCATTGCTGCTAAACTCTGTAGCTTTCTGGGCCCCCAAAGAAGGGTTTAAAAAAAAAGAAAAGAGATGGATATGAGAGGAAAGGCCTGAGTAGTGTCCAGTTAAGCGCCTTGAAAAGCCAGTGAGTATTCAAAGGAAAGATGGGTTTGAAGGAGTTTGATGACCAGGGTTTCCCTCTGCCCCATGCATCTCATCCAGCGGGAAAACAACTACCCATTAGACCCACCTATCCGCCTGTTGTCCACCCTTAAGAGCTGGGTGACCTCACCCACAGCGGGACAAAAAGCCTCCTGGTCTCCCTGCTGGCGGTGGATCAGCTCGTTGTGATCCACGGAATCTTCTTCGGCTGCTTTTCAGAAATAGACCATCAGGCCTTTCTTCCTACCTTGTGGAGGTGTGGACATCCAGGCTGTACCGCAGAACCATGGGTCCCACTCCTGAGTGGGAGCCAGGCATCATAGATTTGAGAGTTACCAAGAGGCTTCCAGTGTGCAGCCAAAACTGAGATCCACAACAGCACAGTCAGCCCTCGCTTGGCAAGAGACAATACGGGGCCGCAGCACTAGACTTGAAAGTTCAGCTTTCCAGCTCTCCAGCTGCTTGGGGAAGATGCCTTCCTTTATGCCCTCCGCTGAATGCTCAGAGCTGCACCACTTTTTAGGCTCCCCAAGTGAGGGTCCACCAAGTAAATTCTTGTTGCATTACCGTTTGAATTCAATTCTGCCTCATCCTTTGCTCTGGTGAATTTCCTTCTTGATTGCTAGGCTCCCAACTCAGAATGGGAGCTGGGCTCCCAACTCAGAATGCAGCAGCCAGGCCCCTCCCAGACATGGAAATGCACCTAAAAGTCACGTGCGGGCTTCATGTCCCTGTTCATCAACATGCAGCCATTCCTCTTACATGGAAGGCAGGTGGGAACGGGGAAAATAAAAATGGGAGCAATGTCCCTGAGGTTGGGGTCACGGCATAGTCTAGGCTTTGGTTACAAAAGGAAATAGTAACTCCCCAGTGGTTCCCTCCGTTTACGTGATCAATGAACTCTGGTCAAATGTGGTGTGCAGTGTTCTTTGACTTTTCTTGTCATACATATCTGACCTAGAAAAGACGAAGCATCTTTTGGAGCACAGGAGAAATTAAAGAGAAATACAGCACACAGCCTTAAATACTTAGGAAGTATTTAGCAGTGCTTAGGAAGAGCCACCTCAATAGAAAACCGCATTCGTTACTTATCTCAGTCTTAGATCATGTAATGCCCTACGTGAGAATGCTGCTTCTTGTGTACTCGTCACTATTTTCTAGATGTTTCTTAGTCCGATGGATTCCTTACTGCAGAACCACTTTACAAACGGATCACGTAAGCCTTCTTCAATTTTTACCCAGTATTCACATCTTCTTACCCGTTTTTGTGTGGCCTTTCTTTCAATAGAACTCAACACTAAATTTGTCTAGTGTTTTCTGAACCCCGATCACCTACTTGGATTTTATTTTTCTTGCCTCGTTTTTAAATTCCCTTTTTCTGGGTAAGTGAAATAAAACCATTACAACTGCTATCTTGAAAGTCATAGATGGGGGGAAACAGTGACTCCCTGTTAGTGTCTGCTATTGGGTTTCAGGGCGAGAAAAAGACCCTCACCTGTCCTATGCTAAAATCGTCTGTTGTGGATGCACGCAATTGGATTTCTAATATCCAGAAACTCTGGTCAGCTGCACTGTTGCAGAAAGGGCTTCCCTTTGTCCTGGGAAGAGACAGTAAGACCACCGGACTCAAATGCAAAGGAGCCCTGGTGGCACTTTAGGTAAGCACTAGGCTTAGGTTAGTGGTTCGAACCCACCGCAGAATAGTCCTGGTGATCTGCTCCCACAGAGATCACCACGTTGGAACCCCTCTGGGACAGTGGTACAGAAAGGAGTCATTCTGTAGTGTTGCTGGGAGTCAGCATACACTCACCGGCACAAAATAGCAGCACTCTCAAATAAGAAGCCACCTGAAAATAAAGAGCAAACAGGGAAGTGATGATTTGTCAAGAGACTTCACCATCTCGGCCATTCCTCCAGGCCCACATGGGAACCTGGTTGATCATGCAAACATGCTGGAGGGCAGTGGGCTATTATGCTTTCACACTGAGGGGGAAAAAAATCAGTTCATTAATTAACATGGAGATGATGGAAAGATTAGGCTTTCCCAACAAGCTCCGATGAAAAAAAATTTTTTTTCAAACAGGAAAGAAGAATAAGCTGCGAGTTTACTATCTTTCCTGGCTGAGAAACAGAATATTACACAATGACCCAGAAGTGGAAAAGAAACAAGGCTGGATCACGGTTGGGGACTTGGAAGGCTGTATCCATTACAAAGTCGGTGAGTCTACCTGAGAGGTGGCAAGTTTGGTTTGTTCGTGCAATCAACATTATTCAAGTTTCAACTCCCCCCCCCTTTTTTCCCTATCAGGTATTGACGGTATATTTGTGACCCAGGTAAAGTATTGCAGGGCATTTAGTATGTCTGCACTCTTCCCAAACGAATCGGATCGAAATACAAAGAGTGCACTCAGGACGAAGTTCAAGATCCAGTCTGATGTTTAGATCAGACATCAAAGGGGACATCAAAATGTGGGTGGATAATAATTGGGGTCACAAGAGTTGGGGGGAGGGGTAAAAAGAGGAGCTGATACCAAAGGTTCAATAGAAAATAAATGTCTGGAAAAGAATGGTGGCAACATATGTACAAATATGCTTGATAGAATTAATGTGTGAATTGTTCTAAGAGCTATAAGATCCCCCAATAAAAAAGGATATTTTAATTTAAGACAATGTGAATAGTAAAACAAAGGGTATGTCTCAACAGAAGCTCCAGCAAGTTTCAGAAATTTCTGTCAGCAATGATGCAAACCATTTTGTTCATACCAAAAGTGCTGAGGGCTAAATTCTGTGGAACTTTAGCCCTGGCAATACAGGTTTTTTTTTATACTGTTAACTGAAGAAAAAATTAGTGCACCTTAAAGATTTTTATTTTAAGGTCAAGACAAAAATGAGTTGGGAGGAATCAAATGAGGACGATAAGGTAGATGCCTCTTGGTTTCCCATCCCAACTCTCCTGTGCTGCTAAGCTGTGGCTAACTCTCTAAAGCAGCACTCTCACAACGAGCTGATGTTTGTCCCTCCAGAAAGTCAACAAGCAAAATACCTCGGACGTCCCCAAAAGCCCTTCCCTTGACCTTTGCTCATGCTCGGCCCACTTTTGTTTTAACTGGACCTCTTCCACCCCTGGTCCATGGCTTTGATTGCATTGTGTTTTCAAGATCGTACTGGTAAAGCCATAGTTCATCCGCTGTTATGGTTCTTCCAAGAAATGCTTCGGGATCTTGATCCTACATGTTTAAAATTTCCATGGAAAACTCTACTCTGCTTTGCAGCTTTTCTGGGCACAGCGGTTTGGGCACCCGTTTAGCAGAAAATTCACTCCACTGCCGTGCTCGGTCAGACGTGCTTTAGCTCTACTGGTTGAGATGTCTAAGGTGCGGGCTGTTCTTCCTTCTGTTAATGATCGGTCCCCATCACGTAGAGCGTTATTTCCTGCACATTGATGTGGATAGGCTGCTTCTGCGGTTCTCATCTTCAACCTAGTCCCCTCTTTGCTTGAAACGATCTAATTGTGAACTACTGATTTCTTTGAGAGATTGTCCCTACAGTTTCCGTGAAGCAGCAGTGATTTCATCAGCGTCACCACCCAGGTGTTTGCTCTTGCTTCGATTTTGGCAGGAGTTTTATTGTGATGACTGCGGCTCTTCTTTTTATTATTAACTTTTTATTGTGAGTGAGTGAAGGTTAATAGAACATACCGGTTTTCTACTCAACAGTTCGTCTACATGTTGTTCTGTCTCGCTGATTGCAGTCCACTCGAGGGACCATTATTGACCCCAGCTTCTCCCTGGGTTTATGGTTTCTGCTCTTCCTTCTTCCCGGACCCTTCTGAGGGATGTTCTTGGTCACGACTGCCTTTTGATCTCAAATAGGTTATTATTCTCAAGCATGCATCCCTCTGGAGTTCTTGTACCTCATAGGAGAGTGAGATAGTTTCCAAACTCCAGATGTGAAGAGAGACTAAGAACGTTTTTCTCAAAGGTTCCACCAAGCTCTGTCCAACCAGTAAGCCTGGAGCAGCAGAGAAGGGGAGCGTGTACAGCACTTTCCATACCAGGAAGTCAGTAAAAAATGTCTGAAACTGAAAAACAATCAAGACAGAGTATTATAATCTTGATATTTAGAAACAGTGGGGAAAGTTGTGAGTGACTGTCCTTAGGGAGCAGAGAACAAGAGTGAAGCTAGGACTGCAGATTGTCAGCTTATGGCTCATGGGACTATTTGCCTTTTTGAATATGTACATATGTAATAGGAAAAAACCCAAAGTTTATTATTGTCAAAGAAGCGCCACTGTGGGCATTTTAATAGGTACACTGGGTAAAGGTACATCTTTTGGCAAGAGGAGTAGAAAAATCACAATGTGACTGAACACGTTAGCAGTGCTCTGTGTCCATGGTGTGCTGTGGGGAAAGCCTGGTGCACATTTGTAATGGCAACCAGTTGAGTTGGTCCAATCGTATGTTAAGCACAACAGAAACTGAAACCTGGTCAAGTATATTTTAAGAGAGAATGTGTAAATCGAAGGGGCACATGCTGTTCTCGCAAAACCAAACTGACTTCCCATGGAGTCAATTTTGGCTCAAAGCAAACTGACTAGGACAGAGAAGAACTGCCCCCATGGGTTTCTGAGACTGTAACTCTTTACAGGACTAGAAAGCCTCCTCTTTCTTCCAGGGAGTGGCTGGTGGTTTCAAACTGCTGACCTTGTGGTTAACAGCCCAAGGAGTAACCCACCACAACACGCAGCTCTCTTCCTGTGCTGTCCTATGAAGAATTCAGAGACAGTGAATTTGGCTGGTCTTCCTGGGTTGGCCTGGCGAGGTCCTGAGTGCCGTAGTCTGCTGGGCACACCAGGGACTCTTCAGAAACAGGCTCTCCATCTCCCTTTCCTCCGTTGTCATGTCCAACAATCTTCCCAGGTGCCTGAATCCTAGGAAGAGTGCTGGGTAGTGATTTTGAAGATTCTGGTCCCTGAAAGGATATGTCTCCCTTTGTATAGTAAGTGCATATCATTTGGAGTGTTACACTAAAACGGGAAAAAAAATACCTGTCCTTACTGTACAGTCAATGGAAATCAAAATGGATTGAAAGAAATCTTTGGACTAAATAAACAGTTAATGTCTGCAAGTGTCCATACCCACCACTCCTCTGTTAGTTTTCCCTACGATGCTGTCTGTGTGTTAGCACAGAGCTGGAAGCTGTGCCACCAGTATGCCCACACACGGGGCGCAGGCTTCAGCCGAACTGGCAAATTAAAGAAAAATCTAGGAAGAAAGGCTTGATGATGTATTTCCAATGGGAAAACTATATGGATCTCAAGAGAATACTGTCCAATACAGTACTGAAAGATGAAGACCCTTCAAGAGAGTCGCAACAATGGACCGAGGTGGATCAGTAACATGAAGGGGTCGCAGGACCTGGTGCTGTTTCACTCTGTTTACACGCAGGTGGCTCTGCGTCAGAGCTGGCTACCAGCAACAACAGCACTAGCATGTATACTGGCCACGGTTATTTCTGTAACATTCCCCGTGCCCTCGCACAGTGCCAGGCAGTAGAAAGAGGTAGCAAGCATTTGTTAAAGTAATGGATGTGCAAGCGGCACATTATTCAAAAGCCAGATCACCTCGGGAGCTGTTTCTCCATAGTCCCCTGGTGAGACATAAACTAGTGTATGTTCCACGTTGCTAGGGCATTTCTGTTTGGCTCTTGGAATTATTTAGGACTTTCTAATGAAATGCCCCGGAATAATGAAATTAGATGTTTCTGTGCAATCTCATTGGGCAGCCAGGTAGAACATGTGCGTCCCCCTGATTCTCAAGCCAAATGGAATTCAAACTCACCCCCACAGGTGGCCTGCTTTTGGAGAAAGTGGACAGCTCTCCTGGAGGATAAGCCTTTTTCTCACGGAAGTGCGGTGACAGGAATCATTTTAACACTGCTTCTAAATGTTTCGTTTGATGAACCTTTTTGAATTTCACTTGAGTATTTGGCCTTCATTAATTACTTAGCATTAGTAAGTCCAGAGCTGTCTAATGCTCACATTTCATATACATGAACTAGTAAGATATGATTACAGAGCGTTCAAATTCATCACAGGAATGAATGTCAAATTCCTGAGTGCTCTCGCTTGCATCTGCCCAGCCACTAGTCTTCCAGAACGACATGTTGCAGGCATCCAAACTGTCCATTGCTGGCCCTTCCTTCTCAACACTGCTGTCCATTTTCATTGTCTCCACCTCGGTCAGCTGACCCCTGTCCACACATGAAAAATGAAATGGAACTCCACAGAGCAGTGGCTAATAAACGTCCACCAGAGCATTGAAACCAGCGAGATTTCAGAAATAGCTTTTGGCTCAATACCTAAGTAGCCATTAGCCGTCTCCATTTTGCTTTCCTTGGGGGATTCAGCCAAGATGGGCTGGATCGATCCTCGTGGCACAGGACTAAATCCCCGAGATCCCTGTCGCACTTTAAAAATACAAAATGAGAGCAAAACAGAAAAGCAGAGTGTATCTCCAGAGCCAGTTAGGATATAGGCTGTTTCTTTATTTAAGATATTTCTTTATTTCTCTTAGCCCAAATACACTTGGATAGTTTGGGGGGATTTTTTTGATTGGTTGGTTGGGGATTGATTGATTGGTTTTGTTTTGCCTTGTTTCAAGGATATTGTAAGGTTTATTTTATTTTTTTAATCATTTTATTGGGAGCTCTTACAGATACAATTGCTGCCACCATCAGTTTCAAAATTTTTCTTTCTTCTTAAACTCTTTGATATCAGCTCCCCTTTATCCCACCCTCTCTCACCCTATCCCCCAGGAACCCTTATTATTATATTATTGTTGTTGTTGTTGTTGTTTTTATGGTATGTTACACCATCCAATGTATCTACTGACCTACAATTCTGTTGTTTGTTCCCCTCTAATGGTGTTATACAGTTATCATTGCTATCAGCTCCCATCCCACCTTGCCCCACCCCACCTCTTTTCCCATACCCTCAGGGAAGCATTACTCCCTTTACTGTTTCTGCTGGGTTATCTATCTTGGGTTTCTTGCATCTAACTAAATTTCACAAATGGGCTTATGCAGGTCTAACAAGATTAATGCAGTAAAACAAAGACCATCCTGGTAAGGGGAGGAAATATTAAACTAGAGGATAATTTTGTATTTCTTCAGTGCTATACCACCCCCTAGATCTATTTTAAATTTTAACCGCGAATC